TAAAATTAAATATTTTACACGCAAATGTTAATATGTTAAAATTACATAGGCAATATTGGTCTCATTTGAGAGATCATGAAAAATAAAAAATGTTGATATAAATTTTATAAAAATCGGATCAAAAATAAAAAAGTTATTACCATTTTTTAAAAACAAAAGGAATAAAAAGTATAAATCCGTACCGGTATATGGTGCTCACCGTATACCGGTCGTACCGTATAGGCACTGGTTTGAGTTAGGGCAGACCGTCAATCAATACCAGTTTTACACTTATTAGCGGGTTAACACTTAGAGCCCGTTTGGTAACACCCAAATTGGCTGAATTGACTGATTCTTCTGAAATTTATGAAGTTCTGGCTGAGGTAGCTGTATTGGCTGATTCTGCTGTTTTATGAAAAAATTATATTTAAAATACTTGTTATTAATAAATTAAATAAAAAATTATGTGAAAAATAGCTAAAATGATCATCTACAGTAACTTCAGCCAAAACAATCAAAAAAGTAACTTCAACCATACTTTTTCTGCTTTTTAAAAATTTCAGCGCGCAAAATCAAAAATTACGTGTTTGATGAAAAGGTTAGTTGATAAGACTGATAAGACGAGAAAGTGAGTCACGGAACGGGCTCTTAACCGGACCAGTTCTAGGCCCGGGTGGCCGAGTCAGATCGTCCGGACCGGTTCATACAACATAGGCTTTACCTTGAAATATATAATGATCTAAGTTAACCTTAATCACAAAAACAATCACAAAAACTAATGAGTTAAGAAATAATGATAAATATACGACCAAAATGAAGTCAACCAGTAAAAATGTGATATTTTATACCTCTGTGGTAATAATATCTTTAATAACTATAATTATATTGAGTTGTACATTCTGAGACCATTGCCACATATATGTAGTACTCCGTAATTCTAATTATATTGTTGTTCATATGTTCCTGCTAACCATCACCGGCCATGCACTAGGGCTTTGCTAAATCGAGATCTGGAGAGTGAAACTAGGAATAATTTTTTGGTGATTGCGATAAGACGACGGTTGGTTTTGAGCTGAGCTTGCTGGTGGTGGAGGGTTGGGAATGAAGATGGGGTGTCACCGACTCACCGTGTCACTGGAATTTTGCTATTATATTGCTGCTAGGGGAAATAGCGGGGTGTTATAGAAATGCCATTGCTGCTACTAGGGGCAATAGTGGGGTCTTATGGGACTGTTACCAGTCCGGTGGGGCCATGGGCGGAGCTAGGGGTGGGCCAACCTAGGCCATGGCTCACCCCAAATTTTAAAAATGGCTTAATTTTTAAGATAAAAAATTTCGTGTAAATTTTTTTCTGAAAATATTCTTTGTACCGGCCCAGTTCGACTCAGTGTCCTGGCTCCGCCCCTGGGTGGGACTGTGGTCGGGGCAGTAGTGGTGTGGGATGGGGGAGTGGTTGTGCAGGGGTTTTGGAGCCGGGGAAGGCCTGGACTGGCGTGGGCAGTGGTGGCAGGTGAACATTCACAGACTACGGGTAGTGCGGTGGTTGTACAATGACTGCTGGTGTCCTGAGTCACTGGGCGGATGATCATTGAGACGCCCTAGCCGGGTCACTAGAATACTTACGTAACTCATTGTCCGGACTAGGTAACACTAAGTCACTAACTATAGTTATTGGGGTGAGATCACTATACCATCCAAGTCATTATCCGGGCTAGGTCACTATGACGGTTGGTCCCTAGGGGTAGGTCACTGGTGTAGATTGGTCACTCACGGCAGTGGAGTATTTAAAACTTGTTCTATTTTTATCTATAGTTTTCACTTAGTTTTATTTATGTCATAACCCTACAAGAAAACATAAGGTTATCATAAAATAAATGTAGTCAACAAATTGAGAACTTTGGTATTAAAGATTAGAGATCAGAGAGAGAGTATTATTTTCAACCAAAAACCGTTGGTCAGATGGTCGCTGTCATAATTATACTTAAAATTGTATAGCGATTAATATTGTTATTATTATTAATTTTATTGTTTTTCATGTCATGACATTTTCTTACATACATCAGCACTTAAAAGCTATCAATTATAAATATGGAAGACAAGATGATGAAGTTACGACTGAATAAGACATTGAAATTAAACAGGCTGATACATTTCCAGATCCCGATGAAACGATGCAGTTACACTTGAATAGGACGTTCAAATTAAACATGCTGATACATTTCGAGATCAGCACAATAATACCGATTGCAGCTTTTCCCATTTCTCAATTTTTTTAAACTTTTAATTCAAACATCTATGTTTTTTGTTAAATCAAATAATTACTTTAGTCATTAAATGATGACAAAGAAACAAGTGAATAAATAGCCTATGGTACAATGAGAGGAGACATAAAACGAAAGAGATCCCATAAATACTCTAAAATCGCTAACCCCGCAGTAATGTAGTCTAATCGATCTAGCAGACGTGCTACTCTACTTGATACTCCAAAAAAATACAAATAAAATATCTTCCTTCAACAGCCACTGGAAAGTGACAATTAGGGACAATTAGTTTGATTGGCAATTCACAAAAGAAATTCAAACAAATAGAAATTGGTTGAATCATCCGTTTGACCAACCACCAAAAAGGCGATTCAGTTGAAGCTTTAGAAAAACTAGGTTATATCTGCCTTACCAATCATGAACCGTGAAAAATCATCACTCAATCGGTTACACCAACGAGGAACACACAACCTCTAGACATTGTCAGGAAAAGAACATACCTACACTCACCTGAAGCAGACTAAACTTTTGACCGAAGAAGAAGCCAGACTAAAAACTAGAACCCTAGAAGATAAAAATAAAAAGGAGCAGCATCATAGTATAACCTTTGATTCGTTACTTCCCAAAGAACTTTTGCATTGTTGAAGACTCTTGCCCATCGGAGTGGAGCAGACTAGAAGATTAGATCGCCCAGTAGCTCATCGCCTAGGGTTTCCCTAGGGCCGGCTCTCGCTCCTCAGCTCTTGACTTGTTTAAATATTTATGTTGTTAAAACCGGATCGAGAGGTGACCCAGATAAATTATCGGGTCAGGTGTCAACCCGGATTCCGGAGGGTTAGCTCAGTCAACGCAACTCAACCCGATCAACGGTGGTTCAACGTAGGTTAATAATATAATCAAATCATTGATGACAACTGTGATGTTATAGATGCGTTATTTTTAAAATTTGATGATTATATAATCATTTAATAGTGCTAATTATTTCCTAAAATGGGAATGGTAACCTTTAATTAGTTGGGACGTATTTCTAAAAAAGAAAAGTGAGAACTTTAAACTGAGACGGAGGGAGTAAAAAGTAATTAAACAAGAAAAATTCAGATAGTCACACAACGAGACATTTCAAGTCAATTATGGACTTTCTTTCATACATTGTGTTAAGTACATCCATATATGTCTAACTCTGTTTAGGAATTTCTTTTTAAATTTTTCTCTACAATGGCATCTTTGCACACATGTAATATAAATTGACCTTCATTTTATACATACATGTGCATTTTAAACTTAAAATAAGTCTACTTACATTGTGTGATTTGCTATTGTAAATTCGCCCCCCTAAAAAAATTCAGAATACACCACTATGTGCAATCACATTTAAAAATTAGGTAATGCTACGAGCCTACGATCTTACCCCCTCTAAAATCTATACTATAGGAAGTGCTACAAGAAAACTCGTACTCTGCTCAAATTTTGACTTAAATTCATTAATAAAACTTCGAGTCTTACGGCTTTGGCACATATTTGGTACAAATGTGGAATAGATTTGGCATGGACATGATACGAATGTGACATTGAGCAATTTCCCTTGCCATAGCTTCATAAGGAATGTTAGCAGAAACTGTTGGTTCAATGCACGACTATTTGAGTGGTTTAATTTTCAATTCATTTTTACTTTATAATTTTTAATTTCAAATTACCTAATATTTCAAGTAAAAACATCCTTAATATTAACTCTTTATCAACTTAATATTAATCTCACAATTTCACTTTTCCTAATAATGAAACAACTTCTTCTTGTTCCAACCTATGTTTAAGAAACCGGACCAAAAAGTGATCAAGCCACGTGATTAGGTCACATGTCAACCCGTGATATAATTGTATACAAAATTAAAATAAAGGGTAGTTATTTCATAATAATGAACTAATGATAATACTTACTAAGCATTTAAAAGTAAAAACAGTCTCATAATATTTCAAAATATCATTTTGATCTTATTAATATATATATATATATATATATATATATATATATACACACACACACACACACACACACACATACAGTGATACTCCGTATTTGTTTTTTGTATTGTACATTTATTATATTATTTTACATAATTATTATTCTTAAACAAACAAGTAGAATATAAATATATTGCTTTTTTCTTCTTTTTAGGGTATTGAAATTGGAATTTTATTGGGTTTTTTCGGGTCCGGGTCTGGATCAGATTTTTCCGGGCCGGCCAGGTTTTCCGGTTTTTTTACCACTTCCAGGTTATTAACTAACCGCGAGTAGGGGTGGGCGCAGCCTGGGACGGTCCTGGATTTGGCTTATCCCGATCCTGATCCAGTTTTATAATAACGGTCCGCTACGGTTTGGAATAAGTCTTTATCCCAATGTTGTCCAATTTAAAATGGGACAGGGACAACCCGAGAAAAATCGGGATGGTTCAGGACGTCCCACAAAATATACATTTGTAAAATGTGATATAAAAATAAGCATAACATCAAAATAAAGACGTAACTATTTTTTGCAAATTTAGCTTCTCTAAAAAGTTAAGTAAACCTCTAATTAACTATTTTTAATTATTGTCTTGTAATTTTTTTTCATCCCCCTAATCTTGTGTTTCCTCTAGTAGAATAGTAGCACAAAATATTTTTACACTTTGTAGTACACTTGTTATTTTTCAATACCACATTAAATTAAATATCATATCTACAAAGATAATAAGTATAATCTACACTTATCGTAGAACAATCTCACAAAATTTCATCAAAACGTCCCCGATAATACATCTGACGCCGGTCGGCCAGAGCTTTCAGTCCGGATAAGATCTTTTCCGGCATAGATATATACTTAGTTCCCTGAAGACTCACAATTAAGTTAATTTTTTAAGCATAGTTTAAACATTGACACTTAATTACCCAAATTAAGCATAGTCAGACGCTAAGTAGCTGCTCCAGCTTTCCTCCGCCTCCAACCCATCCTGCTTATTTATGTTTTGGGGTCCACTCTTGTTGTTGTAGACCACTACCTTTGACGCTGTTGATGCGGAAGACGGCGAGGCTTCAAAGAGGTTAGCCATAAAGCTCATTTCCTCGTCGTAGGATTCGCCAAGAGCGGTGGCCACTCACGGTGTTCGTTCTGCCCACTGGCCGGGAATATCGCCGTCGACGAAGACTGCTGATTGGTACCACCATGAGCGTCAATGCTGTTCTGTTGGACATAACTGGGCGGGGCAAGGGTGAGGGCACCACTGAAGTATTTGCGCTTGATATAGTTCTCTAGAACCATATGTCTCTTTTTATTCCCGTTATTGATTAGGGAGCCGCCTTCTTTGGGTTTTCGTTTGGTGAACTGCCGCCTCTTAGTGGCGTTCCAGTGATTCTTGATGAAGTTCTCCGACCGGCCTGGAATACACCTTGCGATCTCCGACCATCGGTTGCCGAGAAGCTCATGTAATGCCACCAGCCGCCTCTCCTCTTCCTCCGTCAATGGGTTTTTCTGCAAATTATGGGTTGTTAAAATGCATAAAATTAAAAAGTAAAGAAAAATCTACAACTCGAGAATAATTGGCAAAGAAGATTTCAAAAATGAAAAATGGCCCAAACGATCCTAGCTAGATAGATAGATAGGTTGACTACTCGGCCCGTCCCGACCTATTGCCATGTCTACGTACGTTGTTAAAAGCGGATCTAGAGGTGAATCGCCAATCGGACAAGCGATCGGGACAAAGGGTCAACTGGGAGCCAACCCGGTCAACCATGGGATAACTTGGTCAATGTTTATTGAAAAAAATGACATATAAAATATGTATTACGGAGGATTATATATTCGACAATGGAGGATAACAAGTCTCCTAGATATTATGTTGTTAGAAGGATCATATGGCCGGTGATTGTTATGTCACGCCCGTTTGGTAACTAGCGATTCATATTACTCTTTCAGGGGTGATCGTCTCAGAGTCTAGCCGTAGGATTGATAGTGCTAGTTGGTTAGATATAGTGGTTGTCAGTGTTGGTCTTTTTGAGTTTATCGTAACGATTCAAATTCTAATGATATTCATATAAGCAATTTGTTTTCATGATAAAAAAATTACATTCAATTAAATATGTGAAGTCAAGAAGTACTTTCATTTAAAATATAATAAAGGCTATAAGAGTCAAATAAAATTATTGTACCAATTTATATAGTTTCTTTAGGAAACTCAAGATATATTTGGATTTATATAGATAATATGTGATCATAATATTTATAAAAGAATTATCATTATTATTGATAGATGTAATATAATGAATATTTCGTAAATATGTAATAATTTGTTAATATAATAATAGCAATATCAATAAAATTAGTTTTTATTTTGATTACTAATTAATAATTAATAATAGGGGTAATTCCTTTAATTGGAGTAAATAAAAGCTAAATTGCAAGTATTATATTGGGGTTTCCCCCCTCAAAAATATCACTAAAATAAAACTTGATGGAGTAAATGGGCCTGGACCTCAGGACCCACATACTCAGCAGAATGAGAGGCACAACTGTCACCCTGTGGGGCCTCCATCGGCCGGACGGCCCTCCGTCAATCAGAAAGAGATCGACTCAGAACATGGTCCAGAAGCCAGAAGAACCGGGTGTCCCCGTCGGTCATGGCTCCGTCGGCCATGGCTCTGTCGGCCACAGAAAGCTCCCAGAACCGGACTTCACTCTTAGTTATTTCTACATATTCTGTACTCAGCCCAATAGTGACCCAATTGTAAATGGGTCTCCCAAGCCCAAGACTTGGGAGCCCAGCCCTAATTTCCACTATAAATACTCCCCTTGGGGGTAGTTGTAGGGGGTTCACAAATCATTAATACAAAGCAATTACATTACTTCTCTCTCTAGCTCTCACTTCTCTCTAGGAGTTAATACTCCATCAAAACTTATTTACATAAATATGACTAATAGTCACTAGAATGTAGTGTCATGGTAATTTAAGTAAAAATTAAATAAAAGTTACTATAATTCCATTACTACTCTAGTCACTAATCACATTTTTGTAAATAATCTTCATTTTAGTTATATATATATATGTAATTATTTCTATTAAATTATCTAAATGGGAGTAACTCTTCACATCCTACCATTTTCAATTAAAAAGAAAATAAAGTAAGAAATTAAAATCCCTAGAAACAAAAAAGTATACACAGGTCGATGTCCTCGTCTCTGCCACTTTCTAGCATTGCCAGCTCGATCACTTAAAAAATTGCCACCTTGAATTAAAATGTCATCTTAATGGATGAAAATTCCAGAGGAAGTTTAGGCATTTTCAAAGAGCATGTTTATAACATTTTCACAGAAAAATGATTTTTTTACACAAAATGACAATTTCTTCCGACGTTCAGAGATGGCAGTGATTGGAGGAGGTGCAGAGGCAACAGAAGAGCCCTCCACATTTTTATATTTTTATGTTCTTTACTTATTTGCTTTTAATTTTCACTGTTTTTTATTGTATTTTGTTTAGTTTTTTTCTTCAATTTTTAAATATTATTACTCCGTAATACTTTTATGTTTTTATTATAAATACAAAATGATATTGTGTTAGGGAATAATAAGGGTAAAATAGGAAAAGAGAGTACAATTATTTTACTGTACTTTATGTTTTTGGGAATATAAATATTATATTCCTATTTTTGCTTTATGAAATTATTTTACTTCTACTTGTAGCAATTTTTCCTCAGTGATATAGTGTTAGCCTAAAAATGTTACGGGGGTATAGAATAAGATCGGCCAAAGAAAACTTTTACATGACGACCAAGCGGTCGAGGTGGTGATGTGTATCCAAACCTAAACATGATTCAAAGGTTTGAAAGAATTTTTTAATTAAATTGGCGAGTTAAGTTAAATTCCTAGCTTTCAAGAAACATGGGTCCGGTCCTAATTAGAGCAGACCGGCCACTGGTTTATATCTGGTTTACACTTGTTAGTGGGTTTGCACTCAACTAGTCGAGTTCTAGGACCGAGGTGACTGGGGCAGGTTGTTAAATCCGGTCTAGATCTTATAACAAGGGTTTACCTTGAAATATATAATAAAGGGTCAACATATAATGTTCTTAGTTAACCTTAATTGCAAAAGCAGCCACAAAACTAATGATATAAGAAATAGTGATAAATATATGACTAAAATGAAGTCGATGAATAAAAATGTGATATTTTTTACCTTTTAATTATATTTGCACCCTTAATGACTATAATTGTGGTGTGTTATAAATTTTTGAGACCATGACAGTATATTTACAGTAATTCTGATTAGATTTGTGTTCATTAATTCAATTTCGAAATTTCAATTATCAATCTATTTTCTTTTTTTAAATTTACTTTATTTATTTTAAGTCAATAAGGGTAGATTTACTCCTTTATAATAAGTAACATTATTAAGGTTATTTTTGCACCTTTTAGAAGTTTAGGAGTATATTTGCACCTCAACACATACCTCAGGGATAAAGTCTCAAGAATGCAGTTCTTATTTTTGTATTATAGATTATTTTTAAATTATACTAATACACTATGGGTTATTTTAAAAACTAAATAAATTCTCATTTGGCATATTTCATAACTATAATTATTATTTTTACTGATTTTTTAGTTTTTCATTATAGCATTTCAAGTTAAGAAATGAAATACTCCGTACTGCGTATGCTTCATAATGTAAGAAATATTTTAACATTTAGCTTTAAAAGTATCGAGTCATAGAGTAATTTACTCCTTAAAGTACACTAAGATGATTTTGCACCATTTCCGTTAAAAAACTTTTCTATATGCAACAAAAGTTGTCGGTTAGATTTAGATTTCGGTATCACATTAAAATTGATGGAGTGAACTCATTTTGTTCGGACATGATCCCAAGAAGATTTAGTGCGAACTTGGATTTTACAGAAAGTGCACCTGAAAGGTCTTTCGCTACGTTCAGCCATGTTCAGGTAATATGATCTATTAACTCTAGTATTTTTCAAACCCATTTTATCTGTATTTTAGTTGTATCAAAATGAGTATCATATTTTTCTTTGAAAAAAATTATGTGAATCAAAGCATTTTACTTTATTATAATCAAATCTCAATCATAACTTCACTTTTTCAACAACCTTATTGGAATTTAAAGTTTAAAATGACATGGCACGATGACAAGGAAATGAAATTTAATTTGGGTGCTGACATGGCACGATGACAAGGAAAAAATACCCCTATTCGAGAAATAAGTTTAAAAGTACCGTACCCCACTTTAAGAAATAAGATTAGAAACTACCCCTCTCCCGAAAAAACTCCAGCTAGAGGGGTGGGGGCACACAAGGCCTAGTGGGACGCTCTAAATTTGAAAAAATCTTTTATTTTGTGTGAAAAAATATTGTGTAAAAAAATTAATAGAATTGAGAAAGAATCTTTAAATGTCCCCCTTAATATATTTTCTGGTACACCTATGCTTACGATTAGGGTATTATTACTCTCTTATTATTCATTTGGATTTTTTCTTTCATCATAATCTTTAAAACACTTTAAGTAACAAACAGAGAGGGTATATATTTTACCTTTTAAATTATTTGTTACTAAAACGGGAAGGGACTTCAATTTTCTAAAGGTGGAAACATGAATAATTTACCTATCTTGAAGATATATCACCACATGAAATGAAACCAAACAATGATCATCAAGACATCAAAATTATTGAAGCTATATTACACTTCTTATGAGAACCCCTCTTAGAGCGAGAATCCATCTTAAAATGAGAATTTTTAATCTTCATCATTCATATATACAATCAACGGCTATTATTAAAAATGTGGCAATTTTGTAATTTTTAGGATTAATTGCGAAAAACACTCATTTGAATTTAATGTTATTACGAATAAAATGAAGACATAACTTAAAAACATAAAACATGAAGTGATGAGGACGGTAACAATAATTAATGTGAAGACAAAAATGTGATAATAATAAAACCTGAATATCAGGACGAAGATGATTATGCCACCTCTCTCTGCATTGTTTTCCTACTCGACCAATCATTTTCGCTCCAATCACACTCCACTTATCTCCGAACTCGCTTACCAATCTAACTAAAGCCCTTCATTGCATTTCACAAAACATAATTAAATTAAACCACATTCATTAATCTTGAAGAAATTAGTAATTAACGATTAATTGGCATAAATAAATTATAGGTATAGAAATTAAAAATTCTATATGTGATACGAGGTATATAAGTAATTTAAATTCAAAAAATATGTAAATTTAAAATGGAGCTTTTAGAAACAATTGTTTGCGCTGGTGTGCGTCTAATTGCCAAGTTCACTATTTTTTAAAAAAACCCAAATCACTAATTACAAACTAAATGTAATGTTTTATGCTCTTTTTATTGAATTACAAGTTTTATACATAAGTAGTTTTGAAATAAATAAGTTTGTTGTAAAGTTTATGATCATATATAATCATTTTGCATTTTAGAAAATTATATTCTTGTATCTTTTGTGATGATTTAAGTTTGATCGAATATGAATTTAAATTAACACATACTTCGCATGATAGATAACTTCTAGCACTTAAGATCTGGACTTAGCGGATACATATACAAGAACCAAATGGGTGTGGATCTAAGGCGAAAATAGTAAGATCACATAGCTCACACATATGAGTATAGATCTACTTTTTTATTAAAGGGCAAGAGTCTGAACTTGTTATTTCTTACTCGGAATCTACTTAGTCACTAGCCTATTTGAATATAGCAAATTTCATCCTTATTGTAACCATATACTTCCTTGTTCTAAAATAAGTGTAATATATTGAATTTTACATTATTTACTTGTTCTGTTTTGACTGTGTTTTATATATTAATGGATTAATAATTCTTTAAAAAAATATTGTTAAATGTGTCTCTTTGTAAATTTTCTTAATTTGATTTTTTAATTCTTTTTAGTTATAAAAAATCATATATATTAATGGTTAAAGTCGTGCATCAGCAAATGTGAAAAGTTAAACATTATACTTACTTAAGAACGAAGGAAGAATTATACATGTGTGGGAGTGCAAGTCTACACACACATCATTATATGTATACATAGTTAAACAACATACATTCATAATAATATGTCAATTAAAAATATAAAAAAACATGAAAATTATATAATTTGGTGGTTTGCCTAGTGGGTTTAAAAAAATTATATGGTGATCTAAACAAATAAAATAATCTTTTAATTTAAAACCTGAATCTTTGGGAATATAAATCTAAGACTAAAATTATGATGAATTTTAAAACTTTTTTTTGTTAAATCATTCTTTAAAATTAATCATCATTCATTAATAATGAATTTAGTAAAAATTTAAGAGATATTAATATTTTAATAATTTTATAAATTCAGGACCTGAAAAATAGATGAATTATCAATTTGGGAGCCGAAAGATGAAATGTATCAATTTAGGACCAGAATGATGGAAAACTATCAATCTGAGACCTAAAATTTCATAAATTTTGATTTTTTTTTAATTAATTCAATTGCTAATTTTTGATAAATTTTTCTTCAAAAAAGTTTATTAGTTAATAAAACTAAATAATATTTAAAAATTTTGAAATAAAAGAAATAATAAAATTATTGACAACATAGGTCCTAGATTGATAGTTTTCCATCATTCAGGCCCTATACTGAAACATTTCATCTTTCGGGTCTCGAATTAATCCATATATATGTTGGATTCTTAAATCTCTCTCTCTCTCTCTCTATATATATATATATATATATATATATATTTATAATTTGTGCATGTGTGTGACTTAGAAGATTATGGTGATCACCTATCTTCTTCTGCACTCCACTGACCCTTGATAAGGCTAACTTTGACACAATTTGAAAACATTTCATCTTCTCCGGAAATCATTCTGGATTCTCCCCGACTCCTTACCACGTTGTAGTTTTCTTGATCACCCAATTGCATTTCATGAGGGAAGCCTTCCCGGCCACCCTTTAGATTTACATTTGGGGGGGACATCCAAGAACCCCCAACAATTGCTACTCCGATACGGTTACTGGAACATGATCGGGAACCGCTACCGCCACTATCCATCAAAGACTATTTTATTAATTGAAGTGGATCGAGTTGAGATTGATTTAGAAAAGTTTAGAGGCTTGTTTTTATATGTAGAGAAAGGAGTTTACGTAACGTTTATTTTAATTAATTAATTAATTACTCAACTAATTGACTGACCTATCACACTAATAAAGATTGTTTGGACTAAGTAGACCGGTCATTGTTAGACCGAAGGTCAAGATCACTAGAATCATAACACGTTTGCATAGTTAATGTCATGGTCAGATATATGTAGGGGCTGGGGTGGGCTCCTGTCCAGCCTAGCCCAACCCAATTTTTTTATTGGTATATGAATAGGTGTAATGTCGAGCTCACCCCTTAATTAATGTCCAACCCAATACAAGCCTATTAGGCTACAAACATACTCGTATGTTCCAAACTTATTCCATTTGCGGCCTTCCTACCTGCCAACTTTGAAGCACGAAGCGAAAGCTGGAAGGAGTCAACTCAGTAAAGCGATGAAGTCACGAACACAGGTGTCCAGTCGTGCCGCCACCCTCCATCCAGGGCCCTGCTTTGGTTGTCAGCCATCGACATCCCTGCGGAGTTCGACACTCCAACCTGTAGCTCGTTGTGACTTTGCCTCTTTATTCTATCTGAGTCTGACTGTCCGTCTCTAGCCGAATCTAGTTGTCCATCCGTCCACGTATACTCTAGTACTCTTTTAATCTATTTTTTGAAAGAAAAATGCTTATTAAATTAACCAACAAATCAATAACAGACCATCACCACACTAACCGAATCCATCTTACCCTTAGCTTTGCTATAACCGAAAAGCCCCCTCATTCTCTGACCAGACATAAAAGAGTTCACCCTGTAATGAGCAACACCCTTTACTAGACATGCGAGAGATTTGAAGTCGCTATCGGCCCCGTAAGCCAAAGTACTTCTTGTCTCATTCCCAAACCTCACTTTCTTCCCCAAAACCAGCCTCAACCCAAACAAAGTATCTGAAATAATGAGTACGACATAGCAAACGAAAACACAATAAAAAAAAATAATGATAATAATAATTAATGACCGTTGTCCTACCAGACTCCTGTTAGTGGTGCTGCACGCCCTAGCCCCGCAGTTGCTCCGATCCACGGCGACAGTTCTAGTGGCAGGCAGGCAATAGCATTAGCAGCATTCTTTTGTGCCTCACAATCGATCCCCGTTCCACATTGCCCCTCACCCGCAGTGAAGCCGCCGAAACCCATCTCCCTGGTTACATCCCTGTGATCCCCTGCAAAGGATACTAGATCGTCGGACTAGCTTTCACTAGCCTGGACACCGTCAGATGTCAGATTTCTTGTTGTAGCCCCGCACCTTCTCACGAAAGATACCAGGCCCCCAAACATGCTCTGCGCTCCATCTACATTCTCCCCCTCCATCCCATCCCTCCGATGAATCAACCAACAAAGAGAAATGACCAAAGCCCTCAAAACACCGACGATGAAAATCGCGGTTCCAAACTCTACCCGCCAACAACAAGTTGCACACTTACTTCCCTTTAATCTATTATTTTGTGTTATTACTTTTTTAGTTTTGAAATTTTATTTTATTATTAATTGATTTTTTTCATCAGATAATAAAATATTGTTTATTCATTATAAATTTATAATGATTAAAGATAGAATTAGTTTAGAGAATGATATATTTATTATACAATTGAATATTAGAGAATGATTTATAAATTGTTTGGACATGTAAGAAAGACTTACAAATCTCAATTCAATTTTGAAATTGGGAATACTTATTAGTTTTATGTACACCGATTGTTTTTACTTATTAGTTTTATACTTTTATAGAAGTATTTTAACTCATACCAATAAATAATCATTACAAAATTTATAAAATTGCACTAAAATGTTTAAATTTTAAGATATATACTGTTTAGATTATTCCTATAATTTATGAGTTATCGATAGGCTCAAATCTGGATCGAACCGAATATCACTATGCTCGAACTCGGCTTGAATAACTATTCAAACTCAAAATTTGGCTCGTGTTTGAGTTCGAAGCTCTTTAGGCTAGCTTAGGTCATTTAATTAAATTCGAAATCCCGCTTGAACTCAAGTAGTTCAAAAAAAGCTCGATTCGATAACAACCCTAAGCGCAACTTTTGTGTGCAGTAATTTTTTTTTACTGCTTAACCCACCCCATCCCAGCCACATTCCTGAATCCACCTCTGGTTAATGTTTTATAGTACTACTCCCTTTGTCCCTATTTATAAAATTGCACTAAAATGTTTAAATTTTAAGATATATACTTCCTTCGTCCCATTGGACTTTGCCAACTTTCTCTTTAAAAGTGCTTTTTGATAGGTTGCAAATTAGTGGGAAGATGATTCATATTGATTCAGGAAGGATTTACAGGCATTCAGAGATTTTGATGTTCATCTAAGAATACAGGAAGAACGTCTGTGAAAGCTAAATGGAAAATAGTGGGCATACTTTGAGCTATTTGATGAGTTCCAATTTTTCCTTGTAATATTTGTGTGTTGAGACCTTTTGAGAAGCTTTATGCAACTAGAAGGTAGAAGTATCAGAATAGGGGGTCGCCCTGCTTAACACCCCTCAAGGGATTAAACAAAACCTCACTTGACCGTTACTAAGTGAACATAGGTGTGTAGACCTTAAAATTTCCTATTATGAGGTTGCATCACTCTCTTGCTTCAACACGCGCGCGCCTGCTGGTCGGGACCTTGCTATCCCACAATGGCAGTACTCAATGCCCACCAGACAGAGAAATCGAGTTTGAGATCGATGTGGATTCGGGAACACAAAACATATATCGATCCCACAGTACCAGATGTCACCAGTTAAGCATCGAGAATTAAAGGTCTAATTGCAAGAGCTGTTGGACACTAGGTTCATATGGGCGAGCCTGTTATGTGGGGGGTAGTGGTACTCTTCGCGAAGAAGAAGGATGCTACACTGAGGATGCGTATCGATTACAACCAGTTGAACAAGATCAAAATCAAGAATATGTATCACCATTTCCGTGAATTGATGACTTGTTCGATCAACTAAGAGGGGTAGTTGTATTTTCAAATAACGACTTGACATTAGGATATCATCAACTGAAGAGTGTTTTTCGCAATAGATATGCTCACTATGAGTTTGTTTTATGTCATTTGGGTTAACCAATGTATACGCGGTCATGGACCTCATGAACTGAGAATTTCATCAATTCTTGGACTAGTTTGTTATTGTGTTCATCGATGACGTTCTAGTGTACTCCAAGGATGAGGAGGAGCATGAACGACACTTGCGGCTTGTAATAAAAACGCCGTGACACAAATTCCCCCTAAATTGAGACGGACAATGTCATGGGCGAATTCGTAAGCCATCGCCTTCAAAGTCATCACGCGACCGTCATCATCCATGGTGTTCTGTTGCTCGAAGAATTTGTCTGTAGACGGTGTTTAAAACATTGGAAGAGATGACACACAAGCCAGAGATATATAGTCGATTATGAAGTATGCGTAGAAAGTCAGACCGAACAACAAGAATGAAAAGAACGGGATTCAATTAATTTAGGAAAACAATTTATGGTAAAATATGGTTTCTAAAAAACAATTTTTTACCCACAAATATCACTCTAAAATTTTTTAATGTCATTAAAATAACTTTGGATCTGATACCACTGTTAGGAAATTGATGTAACGTACCTCGAAAGTACAACAGTGGAAATTTAAAATTTTCCCAAACAGATCTTTAATTTCCTGATTATGACAAAACAATTAATAACAAAATAAAAGAACTTACAAATATTCCAGCCTTTCGGTGATAATCCTTGACCGTAGGTAACCACATGATTTCTCCTTTCCGAAAGAACGATTAGATCCCCCTAAGAGAAAAGCTAGGAAATCTCTTGACAGAGAAATAAACTGGAAATACAGAATCTTGAAACTAGTATATGGATTATGAAGACAGATGATGTATTTATACTAGTTCTAAACTAGTTTCTCAATCACAATGAAAGTTTTTCTCCTGAATGAGTTCCAATCCTAACACGACCGATACCCCTTATAAAATAAATAAAGATTAATAATAATAATAATAATAATGATGATGATGATGATGATGATGATGATGATGATGATGATAATAATAATAATAACAACAATAATAATAATAATGAGAATACAGTCTGCCGCTACCCTTATTCTTTAATATACATTATTTATTTTTAGTTTATTTTCAATTTCTTGAATATATTTTAATTCCAAATTAAACTCAAGAAATTACAAACATTATTTAATTATAAATACATTTTAAATAAGTATAATAAATCTAATTTATTCTACTTAACTAATTCTGTCAAATAGAACTCTACTTCAACTTCATGAATTAAATATGTTTAATACTATTAATATTTTATTTCTAGTATTAAGAATTAAAAATTATTACTCTAAATAATATTTAATTCCTTCTAACAATTCAATCGGAAGGTATAATCACTTGTTATGTGATCGATAGGGCCTTATATATATTAAGCACTAATCAAAATAAGGTCTTAGCAAAATGAGGATGTTTGTGAAGACTATTCAAACACCTTGTAATATAGAGCTCATTGTGACACGGTCCATTCATTCAACGAACATTCAACTACGTCTAAAACATGATATTGTGTCTATTCCCATAAATTAGTTTATCTCTCAATCTTTCTAGATGATCCATAACGACCATATTCGAGATCCAAAACTAATATATCTTTGCATTGGTCAATGACTTTATGATCCGTCTAAATATGAGAAGTAGAATGTTCTCTCTAAATCTATTATGATGAATGAGTCCTTTCGTGGCTCAACAACTACTCCATGTGCTTCGTGATGCACCCAACACATGTCGTATCTACCCTGATTGGAGTGAAAATGGTGGTCATGGTCAAAGTACATCACTCCACACACGAAATACGTATTGACCTCAACTCAGAGGACTATTACACTACTCTATATCCCGTTAATTCCATAAACATATGAATAGAACTTAATAAATATCTATGCAACCATCATGAATT